ATCAAACTTTTTGCATTCTGATCTTATTTTTGCCGTTATTATCGTATCTTACAATACCAAAAAAGAAACATCATATCACTTATCAATCATCAAAAATGTGACCTATTATTAGTTTCTCTCATTTATGTACCACATGTTTCTTTAATAAAAATTGGTCTAATTATTTTTGGATACAATAACAATTTTATATGCAAATTTTCCAACGCGATCAATAATAGAAGAAATGACGATGTTCCATACTTCTATTCTTATTCGCAATGCGAGGTAAAAGGAACTATTTGCATATAATAAAATCGAGAAGAGGAAGAAAAGACCGTTTCACAATGATCAACAAGAATGCTGATGCGATTATTATTCCGTACTGCTACCGATCATCGTGTGCATATTGCATTTGCACAATAATAGAAAGAATACTTGCAAGGTTATCACGCAGAAATTCGCAAGAAGCGCAAGAAAAAGAGAAACAATGACAGACTTTTATATATTACTAGACTGCTAAAGGCCATCACACACAAAATTCCGTAAGGACGTAAAACGTAAGCGTAAGAAAATCGACCAATCCCAATCGAGTATTTGGCTCTCCGTAACCCCTCCACTTTTACTGAAAGCCCAATACTTTATTGGGATTGGTTAATTTTCTTACGCTTACATCTTACGTCCTTACGGAATTTTGTGTGTGATGGCCTTAACTCCCCAAATTTCGCTTATATAAAATGGCCTCAAAAAGCGTGTATTAAGGTATCTCATTTTGCACAAGCGCACAAACAATTTGATAGATATAGTCTCCATAATCATAATATAATTGACTGATATTTTAACCTGAATCGGATAGAAAAATTATCAAAGTATAATAATAGAAGAAATATAAAAATGCCTTTTAAATATGCTGTTGTAAAGTGCAAAAGCATCGCAGCATACAACAGAAATAAAAATAATAATAATGAAATCTCTTTGTTTAGGTAAATATTATTAAGTAAAAATATATGGTAAAATTATATATGTTGTGAAGCTGTCATATGTCTTTTGATCATTCAATAATATGCTATAATATATTTAGTAATAAATTAATTATTGTTGAATAATTCAGATTTTCTATGAATAGTACCAACTTTATATTTATATTTATTTATTTTTCTTTAATGGATTTCTGTTTTTCGGATGAGATACCAGGATACCGCTTGATCATATGTTATGTATATCAAATATGTGTTGTGTATGTGTGTATGTATGTGCGAATGTGTGTATATAGCGCATGCATAAGAAGTTGGCAGTCTAGTAATATATAGAAGTCTGTGGAAACAATAACTGTATCATCATGCAACAGTTGCCACCTTGATCGCAAACTTGGCTGAAATCGAGCTGTCATAATCGCGCGTGAAGTTAGGTTAATTTAAGCTGATCTTTTTATTCATCATAATATTAAGATATAACATTCTTGTGAATACGTAGTGATTCAAAGTACTTGGACCAAGAATAATCTTAAATACTAAAAAGTAATATAGCTGCAAACATTACTAGTGATATTAAATACATTAGGATTCATTTTTAATTGGTTAGCCAGTTATGCTGTCGTCCTTCTGTGTCATTCGATATCATAAGATTGCATAATTTTTCATACGTGAATTTGTGTCGGCAGAGAAAAGAATAGAAGAGGCTACGAGTCAGTGACCAACCATCGAGAGAGATAATTGGTAATTTTAGAGGATACTTTTTTGTTCGTGACGAAAAATCGCGAATTTTTTCTGATAAAAGGGTCGCGTCGCGCATTTGGAACAATTGTGCGTTTTGTTGGAACGACGCGAGTTTAATTGAGGAAGAGAAAAACACTCCTACTGACAGGTTAAAGACCAGAGTCAAGGAGCGAGTCGAGGACGGGGACAAGTACCGGGCGCGAAAAACGTTCCGCCGTTCGACGTTCGAGAGGTGCGGGCTTACCCGAGAAAAAAACTTTTGTGCGATTTAGTTGCTCGTGTTTTCTCAACCGCAGTCACGATACGGAACACCGCCTTCGAAACGGTACGAAACGGCGGTTGCCCCTTGGGCCGTTAAAGAGGTCGTCGCCGGCCGTAAGGAAATGCCGAGCCCAAGGAAACGAGAAATAATCGAAGAACGCGTTTCCGATGTTGCGTTTCGGAGACAATTGTACGAGCGTATCCGCGTATCCGTGCGTGCGTATGAGAATTCCTCACCGTCGCACTTCCCATCATTGTGCTCTACTTACGTATCTCGTAAAAAAAAAAAAAAATACTTCTGAAAGCACAGAAATTGAACGTTATATCGCAAAGATATCGATAATATATGTATATATAAATTTGCAATTATATCAATTCAAAAATTTAAAACTATTTTTAAATCTCAAACTTCGAATAAAAAAAATATTAACTTATATTAAAATTATATGTAGATAAAATATTTACAAGTAAATTAAAATACGCAGATGTTATATTAGCTTAATTGGCTTAACTTCTCGTTTTGTTTTGATCAAATTGTGGACAGGTCAATTGTCACGAAGCAACGTAGCTTCCTCTCGGTTATAAATCTTATCATGAATTGCGTTTCAATATGATACAATGAGTCAGAGCAATCTCTCTCTCTCTCTCTCTCTTGTATTCAATCGAGGTATCGGACACATATCGAATTTTACGAGCCGATATATAGCGGAACGCGATCGCGTTACTCTCTTTCGTCGATCATAAATGCGATCCGTCAGACGCTTCTCGGAAAACTATAACCTTGGGCCTTGAGCTTGAGCTACGATAACGGCGCGGCGCTATTAATTAAAGCGTTATCGTTATGGCATCGAGCGACTCATTCCGGACGTGCATCGTTAATTACGTTCCATTCCAGATAATTCTACGAAAGAAGACATTAGTCCGGAACGGAAATACGCGCACCAGAACCGACACGATAATTCCCATCGAGCCCTTCGGAGGTGGTCCACAACACAAGTTTCTCGCTAATTCTCATCCTCCCCTTTGTCTCGCGAGAGCAATAAAGTTCGCGGAATGGGGGTTATTTTCACGGAAGGATATCATCCATCGTTATCGGCTGATATAAATTCGCCTCGCGGGATGAACGACCGCGCGAATAAAATGTGCGGTTAACGGGTTGCCTCGCGCATGCGTATAGTTCGCACTGTCGTGCTTCTCGTGGCTCTTTGTACGCGGTGTCTAAGCGAATCTAGGCTAGTCAGCTGCAACTGAGATGCAGCAAGTGACTAGTGTCTTACCTTGGGATTAGTTGCATCCCGGGTTTCGCGAGCGCTATAACGCGCTCTCTCCGTCATTCGACAAGTTAATGAACTTCTTCACTCACATATCGCGCTTCTAAAAATACGGATAAATATTGTTGCAGAGACAACGATATTGCTTACACCTTCGGATATTTCGGCGTTAACAATTGAGTGAGTTTCAAGTAATTTATTGAAAATATGAAAAATAAATTATTACTGCCTTCTATATCAGAAATCTTTTTGACAGGTCATTTGACTCCGATTCTCATATTTGAAAGTAGATTAATGCTAAACATACACATGTGTCTAAAAAAATTGATCCTCTTAAAGTAAATCCGAAGAATGAGTTAAAAAGTTGTGCATTTGTATTAACTTTCTGTTAGACCCGTTTTAAAATAATGTTCAAAAAATCGGTATTTATGCATATTAAGGACAATTTCATAGAGGTATGTGTAACCTAGCCGCGCTTTTCATCGCAGAAATAACATTCGCCGATCTTATGCGATATTGCCGTTTCGCGATGCCGACAATCGTGATGAAGAGTACATTCGCGTGTCGTTATTCCCTTTTCTACTCCGCGATAGCAACAGTCAATATTAACGAGGATCCGTTTCTTTCGTAAAATGGATGACAGCGATAAATTATACGTCTTTGTGTAAAACGAATCGCTGTCTCCTAATTTCTAGAGCATCGAAACTATTTATGTCTCTTAGAGAACCGGGTGATTTGTTCGTTCGTAGACGAACGAGAATGATCCTCTACATATGTATACAGAGTGTCCCACCAAAAGTGGCCACCCCCTTTTATCTCTTAAACTAAAAGAGATAGATCGTAACAAATATACATCAAATTAAATGGTTCAAACTAAACTCTATTGTAAACATAGTGGTTGCTTTCAAAAACTATCTGTGTTAACGAACGGAGAGATACGCATAATTTTTTTTTATAATAATGTGGATATTTCGATATGATAAAAGTTGTAGCACTGTTTGAAACGAATACAACGATGTATGATATAATATAAATATTTTACATATTATATTAGTTTTAGCGACTTGAAATATCGCGAGCGACGTCTACCTTTTCACTTTCACCTGCGTTATGGCCAACTTCTGACTCGTGTATTACAGATTGACATATGTCATGTTGTCATTTGATCATAATACTCAATCCGAAGTTGACCATATCGCAGGACAGAAAATAAAAGGGAGACGTCGCCCGCGATATTTCAAGTTGATAAAACTCGTATAATATATAAAATATTTACATTATATCATACATTGTTGTATTCGTTTCAAACAGCGCTACAACTTTTTTCATGTCGAAAAATTCATATTATTATAAAAAAATTATGCATACCTGTTCGTTAACACAGACAGCTTTTGGAAATAATCATTATGCTCACAATAGAGTTCAGTTTGAACCATTTAATTTGATATATATTTGTTACGGTCTATCTCTTTCAATTTAAAAGATAAAAGGGGGTAACCACTTTTGGTAGGACACCCTGTATGTAATACAAGGCCATTGAAATGTGTGAAGTGAAAATATGCATAATTATCAAAAAATCTTCTTATTAATGATAGCATTATTCGATTAATCTGAAAAACCTGTCGTTCAAACATGAGTTTTCCAATTAAATCCGATTAATCGGCATTGATATATCATTGATATCCCGTGCACGAATGCGCACTGACAATTTTCTTCACAGAATGTGCGCGCGCACCAAACTACCCCATTGAATTCCACCCCCGACGAAAACGTATTTATCGATCGGATGTAACTTGCACGAACTGGCAACCGGCTGAAGTCGACGTTAAACAGAAAGACGAGACGCACGTGCTAAGACGAGATAAATGAGCGTATGCAATTACCAAGTGCAACAAAAGTGACCTCAATTGAGTGTGCTCGCCTGTGTAATTAATACCAGATAAAGTCAATACCTTATCATCGTTTGTACACATACACATGCATACGTACACGTGCATATATTCGCGAGAGACCGAATGAAAAACATCTCAAAGAAGTGAGTAGATGAACGTTTATTGAGCTGAATTTATTTCAACAGGTGTGGCATAATTTCCTTTGTTATTTTAATTACTTCTACAATCTATATTCTCTCTTTCTTTCGATAAATATATATTTTGTTGTTGTTAGTGTTTCTGATAGAGATATTTAAATCAACAAGATTAGCAAAACGTGTTCAAATGTGAAAAATAAAACTTGCAAAAATTATGATGAAGTTATACTGTACGTGTTAACTGCACACAGTGTTTATTGTATACAAATTTTTTTACGTTGTAAGCATTTTCTTTCCACTATAAAATCCTCGATTCCTCCATTTAAAGTAAATTATTGTCGCGTGTAATTTGACAAAACACATAATATTTGTGTCTCGCGTGATAATAGAAAATATGATGAAAGAGAGAAATTAAACGTGCAATCCGATATTTGTCGGGAATAGTTGAATGAGTAAGTGGGTCAGGGAAAGGCGTGCACCTCCGTGTAAACCCGTACTACCTGTTTGATAAACTATAGGCGTATAAGCGGAATGTGCGAAGAAACAATCCTCTATAATACGGGACTCTCGATCCATACAGCTATTTGAATAACACGTTGTAAAAACTATAATAATATTACAAACTATAGCAAAGTAATTTTTTTCTGCGTTTAAAAAAATGAAAAGCTAGGTTTGTAAGGAAAATAAATAATTTCATGCTTTGTTGAAGCTACGCACAAGATACCAATTCAAACGAGTACTTGCAGTATGCCAGTTAGAGTCCGCTGGACAGACATACAGTACTCTAAATAAATCGCTGTTGTCAACTTAAGACGACCAAATAAACGGTACGCGCAATTTATGCCAGCAATAAATCCGCAATAATTGGATGATCGTTAAAGGTATATGGTAGTCGCAAAAAAAAAAGAATACTGTTCTCGGACGATTGCGATTTTCGAGTTAATAAGACGCGACAATATATTATGCCGAGAATCGGATGATCGCGAACACGGCATGACGCCATTCGAATGATTTCAACAATGCGTACTCGTTTTTGTTCGTCTTTCTCTCTGTCTCTCTTTCTCTCTTTTGCGGGTCATCTCGCACCTTGATACGTGGACCGCGCAGCATCCATTTATCTTCTCGATCCGCGTACGCGTAAGTGGCCGAAATGTTGAGAGAGGAAAGCACGTACTACATTCGAGTACATTAACCCGCCCGGTGTGTGCAGGGAGATACACCATATCTCGTTTTTTACTCTAATATCATCTACGTATAATCGGCGGAATTAATGCACTTGACTGTATCATGTGCACCAAAGTGCACCATAGTAATTACGCGAATAACGTGAAATTCGCTTGTTAATGCCTCCGGCGAAAGCCAACCAATCAAACCAGTTTATGTTAAGGAACGTGCGTAAAAAGCGCGGGATTCGATTCGCGATCATTAAAGGGCAAACATAAAAGAGAAAAAATCTTATCTTCGATTCTCATGTAATTTTGGAAATCTGTGTTTAATTCTTATTGGCTTCAAGAAATGCCTTAGCGCGATGCTCATTAAGAGAGCCTATTAAAGTAGAATCGCCAAAATTATCTTTTTTATGCAATGCAGAAATAAATTAGGATATTATTCTCTCCTCTCTTTCTCTCTCTCTCTCTCTCTCTCTCTCTCATGTATTATAAAATATTTGTACAATATAATGCATGGATTTCCAATTTTGTATATAATTTACGAATCATTAAAAGAATTTTTTTTAGAGCTGACATACTATATTCATAAAAATTGCAAAGTATTCATTACAAAGCTTTTTATAAGTTTTTGACGCATAACTTTCATATTTTTCTAAATATTTTCTAAATGTGATTTAAAAATGATTTAAGAATAAGAGATCTTCGGTTATATACAAAATATTGTAATATTCATATATTGAATAGACAATTTTAAAATCTTAATCATGCAGAATATCTAATGATAAGACAGTGATATCAAAAGTTTTCCAAGAACCTACACGAAAATAACAAATAGCTTTCGCTATGTGCCCGCAATTGTGTACGCCGGAAGTATAATGCATTCCAATACATCCGTCCAACGGCATATTGACCGACAATGCTGCTAGTCTCTTTCTCTCTCTCTTCTCCCTCTTTTACCGTTTGCACATATAGATAGTCTTACCTCGCGTGAAAGCTCGGCTCTTGATGCATGTCATCTTATTTACAAAACGTATAGTACGTACTCATAACACGTCGCGTATCGATGATTAATATCGAGTACTGTTATTCTGCAAAAAACTTTCCTGGTAGTTTGACAGCTTTTTGCAGAAGGATATTATTAAGCTTTTGGTTATGTGTGTGTGTGTGTGTGTGGCATATAGAATAACTTTCTTGGAATTATCAACAAACAAAATAGAAATGCACTGCTATCACAACTGAAATAACGACAAAATTCTTTTTTAATATTTTGAATATACTCGTTATGATCGCGTATCGAAACGAACAATATCATTATACAGGCTGTCCCCAAATTAAATGTCAAAACTTTAGGAGCGTGTAGGGGACCGATAAACTAAGACAAAAAGTCTTTTAGAGATTTGCTCGTTTTTGCTTCGTTTTGAAGAAAAACGCAAAAAATGAAACAAATAATTTTCACCAAAAAACTTAAAACAACACTAAAATTATTAGATTTATCAAAAAGTATTATAAAATAAAAATTGTAGAACATGGAATTAAGAAAAGAGAGTGAGTTAAAATCCTCCTGAGGTAAAATTAGAGGATTGTAGATAAATACGCGACAACGAGAAATTTTGTTTCTAATCTAATTTTACCTCAGGAGAATTTTATTACACCGATTTTTAAACAAAATTTTGTAACACAACTTTGCGTGACTATCTTATTAACTATTGAACCAAATAAAACTTTAAAACTTGCACCACGTGTTGAGTATTGAGTTGTGAATAACCCCCTAAAATGGCAGCACATACGGATCAAACGTTCGGAAATGCAAAGCGAGTCTCGAAATTTAATTGTTCGACGGTGTATATATCCTTATATATAGGTATTTATTTGGAAAAATTTATCAACAAGTTTACTTGTTCAATTTAACAGTAGAAACCTCTAGCCAGTAGTAGTTTCGTATTCAACTAATTTGATCGTTTTGCTAGAGAACAAGTAAGTTCGTTGATAAATCTTTTTAAAAGAAATTTTGTTTTTATGATTTCAAATAATTGAAGTATACAAAAAAAATATTACATATTTAAAATTAATTTTCTTGTATGATTTATTTATAAGCAAATAATATATATTGCAGTATAAAATATTTCCTTTAATATTTCATACTATACATAAAAACAAATACATTCTTTCAAAATTAAAATAACGCAACGTATAAAAAATAATATGTGATAAGAGAAAAAAACGAGAGAAATTTCAAAAAAAATATTTGTCACATTTCTAATACAATAATTTAGATTTACGATTATTCATTCTTATACGTTAAGTGCATTGTATGAACAGATAAAAATGTAAACAAAATTAATTTATATATTAATTTTTCAAATTCATTTATGAGATTAATCTGTGTTTATATTTGATAAAAGAATCAAGACTCGTAAAAGAAATATCCATATCTATACAAGATAAAATTATTTTCTTGCGTGAATATAATTAAAATTATAAGAAATTTATGAAAAACATAAAAAAAGAGAAGGTTTTTCAATATGTGAGCAATTATTTTAATAAATATAAAAATAAATTTGAGAACTTATCGTTAAAATTTTAACTTTTTTTACAAGAGCCTGGTTGATGATGGAAGAACGTGTCAATACATCGATAAATGGTCTACGGAACACGCGTAGAAAACTTTTTGCAGATGAAAATGACAGCGACGGCGAGGAACAGAACTTTTACAATCGTATTATCGAAGAAAGCCGACAAAGATCAGAAGAGGTAAGAAACGAACGATTTTTCTCCAATAAGTTAAATCCAAACAATCGTTCATTAAAATTATTTCTAATCTATTAAATAATTATATCTCGATAAAGTAATCCTACGCAAAATAGATTAGATATCGATTAAGTGATTTAAAATTTTGATATTTATTGATGTACAGGACATGAAAAAATGGAACTTTGATTTTAAGCATGAAATGCCACTACCTGGACGTTTCAAGTGGGTAAAAACAGACCAATACGGAAACGAAATTTCTGATCCCACAAATTTAATTAACGAAGAACAAAATAGAAACGAGCAGGAAAAACAGATAGAAGAAACAGACAAAAATTCAAGAAGAAGAAATGACGAACCGATGAATGAAAATCCGACGAAAAAAGCTAAACTAGAAAAATCGTAAAAATATTATTCGATATACTAGATAATAGCAAAGACAATCGCAGCTACGAGATAGAAATTGCTCCTCGTACAAAAAAAAAACTATATAAATGTTTAATTTCAAAACTTGTGATTCATCTTCAATGAATATTAAAAATTACTTGCAAATTTCTTCTCTAAAATTTAGAGTAAAATTAGTAAGATTTAGATTTTTATACGAAGAGCGAGAAAACGGGGAATATAAAGTCCTAAAACAAATGTGATAAAACTACATTCTCAAATTGTCAATTTATTAATTGAACTGAATTATTTTATAATTAGTTTATAAATTCTAGTCAGAGGAGACATGATGCCAACATGTCTCGAAGAAACCAAAGCAAAATTCTTTATTTTAATTAACGAATTTTATTAATATCTGAAAGAAGTGACTAGATTACGTGTGATTTGTCCAATTAAATTCAATTATGTTAATTTTAAAGCACCGCATGTGATTTTATTCAATTTAATATTTATAGAAATGAACGTGCAATACACGTGATTATATTCAATTGATATTTATAATTTGGAGTAAATAATCCGCGCGATATAGACAAATGTAAAAATAGTTAATATATTTCTATAATATTTATAAAAAAAAACTGTGTACTCCAATATATTCCTTTTGCTTTCTTTCCCATTTTCATAAACATGCTTAGGAAAAGGCAGAGAATTGCATGCTTGAAGTTTACGTAAATTATGCGCAACCTAATTATATTGTATTACGCCAAACATCTATCTATAATGGATGAGTATATTTTGTAACGTTTGTCGCCAGGCATTTAAATCTTTAAAATTGAATTAATAATTCAGCATCGTAATCTTTAATAATATAAATTATAATAATGTATAATTTCAATAGTAACCTTGATTTATAACATTAATAAAGTAACTTTTAATAGCATAAACTTTCTTTTTTGATGTTATCAGAGCGCAACTCACTTATCGCATTAAATGCTACAAAATCTTATGATTGCGAATTGTCGTCTTTCATCGACTGTATCTTTTCCGTAAAACACTCTCGCTGTCTGAGAGAGACTAATACCACGAGTATCACGATTTCGTCGAATTAAATCCGGAGTATTCGTCATGAGAAGACGCGAGAGAGTGCGTTGCACCTGGCATCGTTTCTTTAAGGATCGCTTTTTTTCGCGTCGCTACCATGGAAGCTGGACACGACGCGGTACCAGCCAGAAATTGCACTTCCGTTCTGCGAATTCCCACGGAAGTGGGCACAATCGCGACGACGACAAAGGATATTGCTGTACGATATATACCACACACATTGTTCTCTGACCAAGCATTGAGAATCTTTCCGATAAAGAACCTTCCGCGAATGCGAACGGATAATAATGTCAGATGCTCAAAACAAGAAGCCTCCATTCTTTGAAAGCTCTATGAAAGTGTGAATGTGTGTTGTATTATCGTATGTATTTTTAAATATTAAATATAGAACGTTTTCACAAATATAAATTAAAGCTAACAGAGATTTAATCGATTATTCGATTCTTGAACAATTTTAATATTTCAATTTCTAGCATTTTTGCAAAAACTGACCGATTTATCCCTGTTTGGCATAAGATTTCCATTTCGCTAGATACCGACGTGTCTCGGAGAAAAGACCTCTTTTGCGAAACAGTGCACCCGTTCTCAACCTCGATCTCGATCCACCACCACCTTGAGCTTGATAAAAGTGATTTATCGCGACTATGCAGCTTCGTGCCCGTTACCGCTAGCACGCGATGAGATAACACGCGCCGGTCTCAGGGTAAGCCCGGCTTTGATAGCAAAATGATGAAACAGGTGACTCTTTTGCTGGCAAACACGCGACGCAGATGCGGCCGCGCGTCTTCCGGTCGCGCGCCTCGCCCGCGAATAAACACCGATTTCCTTCTGAAATAATCTGATCGTCTTACAAATACACGCGCAATATGCCATCCGTAACGCGAGAAACATGTTTATTTTTTTTTTTATCGTCAGTAATTATTTGCGATACGTGCAATTTTTTAAGATTGCATAAATAAAAGCTTTGTCAATATCCAATATAATGTATCCAATAATGCAGCGGTAGATTTTTAAATAATATTTCATCAAGGACTTCTCCAAGAAAAAAGCAAAATATAAATAATGGATAATAAAACAATCAGCTGATTAATTATTGTATTGTATTTTGCAACGCGTTTCAATTTGAATATACTCTCTCTCTCTCTCTCTGTATAAGCCTCTTTAATTATTTGATACAAATTCATTGACGATTCTGTCGACCATATTTTGTAACAAATATCGCAGAAAGGAAGTACGTAACAGAGCCTTCGCTTTATTACGGATTACAAAGCGCAACCTGTGCAACCAAACACCTCGCTGAAATGCACTCCTGCGGTGGACAATGAAAGAGATCGGTGGTCTCTTTTTCTCTCTCCCTCTCTCTCTCTTTGCCAAAAGCAGAAAGAATTGTTTTACGTGAACTCGTTCGCTCTCGTCTCCCCTCATTGAAATGCATCCGGTACCACCCCTCACCACTTCCTGGATGCTGCGTGGGATTTTCGTTTCCCAGAGCGCAACATGCTGCACCGACACCGGATTTTCTCTTACGCATCACACGCACATACACATCCATGATGTCTCTCATTCAGAATCATAATTAAAGACAATAATAATAAATATTGTGCGCGTAAAAATAATTTGCGCTATTTTTAATCCATGTATAAAATGCAAAGTTATTTTACAAACTGTAGATTCTTGCAAGTACGTGTATAAATAATTCAATAGATAATCCGCTATTTAATTATTCGTCGAGCTGCGAGATTTGCGTGGGAAAGAATAGTTTGAATATTCGAAATACCCGCGCCATGTTATGGCGGCGTGCGAATCGAACCTACACACACCAACGCGATTAAGGGAGAGGGAGAGAAAGAAAGAGAGAGAGAGAGAGAGAGAGAAAGAAAGAGAAAGAATGCCGCGTGGCAAAGGCTCTCTCCAATTGGTCTCTGGGATC